AGATAGGATGTTTGTACCAGAATAATTATGTTGAGAATTAAATCAATCTAATTATATTTACATAGCTCCCCATGAGGATAACATATCACTTTCCATAGAAAGATACTCTGTAAGATAATTATCTATTTAAAGTTTTTTTTTTCTTGATTAAAAAACCTTCATTTTATTTTATGTAAAGAACATAAAAGGAATCACAGAATAAGCAAAATTAGAGAAGTACTATATGTCAATTTGCTACTTATTTGAAGGGATTTTTCTATAAGGCTGTGAAAAATCTTACCCCTAAATAAGAACGTTTTTATGGTTTGGTAGGTGAGGTTTTTTCTTCTTACTTTTTTTTCCTTTTTTTTTTCCTTTTTTTTCTTTTTTGGTGAGGGAGGAGTGCGGGAGCAGGAGGGTATGTTTAAAGAAACTTAAACTGTTCTTCCAAAACCATACAGGCCTAACTGAATTAAGCTCTCATATACCAAGGGAAATTCTTCGCTTGAAACTTCAACCCAGACTAGACATAACTGTAGAAAAACACACTATAATAAACAGCTCTGCAATGAGAAAGAGGTGAACTAGTATTTTAAGTCTTCGAATCTCCAGAAGAGGAAGAAAACTCTCATATTTTATGAAACATTGTATAAACCAATTCTAAATTCTTTTCTCTGCTAAGTGTGTATTTGTGTGTCAGTTTATTTATGCTGATTCGGGAGTATGGTTGGCTCAAGTACTGTAGGATCTAACTGATACCTACTGGATGTCCTGAAAATGGCAGTGAAGACATTTAATTGAACAAAGCCTGATTCAGTTGGTCCAAAGAATATTGACCACATAAATAAATAAAATGGCAGATCACCTCTGCCTGCCACAGCACGCCACACAACCTTCCATGAACCTTTCTCACCTTCCTCTTGTGGTTCGCTTGCAAAATTTTCATTCCAGCTAAACAGCAGAATTTGCCTTCCCACCTCCTGCAGTACTGTTCAATGTCCTCTGCAGAACTTGAGGGATTGCAGCTGTACTTCACTGAACATGCCATAGGCATCCTGGACAAGGAGGCATAACCTGCAAAACATTCCTCTGTTATTCATTTGTTCCTGTTGATAAAAAAATAGTTAGCAAATCTCTGAAAATTACATGACCAGCTTCAAAACAGGACTTACCCTCTACAACACCTAGAGAATTCCTACTAAATAATGAGTACAAAAGTATGAGTAAACAAAACCAACATCAGTAAAGACTGTCCCATGTATATTTGCAGGAGGTAACAGGGCCAAGAAACAGAGAAGCCTGACGGAAAATGAGAATAAGGGTTAGGTAAACAAACTGCTAAGCGATATATGCTTTGTGTACCTATAAAGAAAAAAAGATAAACTTTTGCCTGACTTGAAGTGAATATTACAGTGCAGTCTGAACAATGATGCACACATATATGTGCATGTGTATAAATATAAAAAATCTGCTTAGAAGTAAACAAAGCAATACATTTCACAAGTAATAACCACAAACACTGGAACTGGTAAAGCAAGCATTATACTTTTTCTGACCTTTTTTTTAAAGAGTCCTGAGCATTCAAGAAAGTAAAATGTATATTTTAATATTTTTTTAAAATGAAACTACAGATTAGTAAATTCAATGTAGGGTAGAAGAAGCCCAGAGGGACTGTTTTATTAAGGTAATTTTAAAAACTGCTAAACAAACAGTTTGATTAAAGTAATCTATGAAACCAGGGCTGGGAAATATTGCCTAACCAACTTGCTGGCATTTCGAGCAGATATTACCGTCATAGCAGATAAGGCAAAAACCAGTGGATGTCATACATTTAGATAGTCAAAAATGCATTTCCCAAGATTTTGCACCTGAGATGAGGAGCAATGATAGCATGAGTCATGGAGGAAGGAGGCTGCTGTCTACAAGATTGGTTTAATTGCCCCAAAAAGAGACAGTTAAGCATGGAAACTTTTCAAATGGCAACAAGAATTAGCTTTGAGGTAGCACACACATCTTTATTTGCAATAAAACTCAGGGGCATATTAGGCAGCAGAATGCCTGGGCAATGTGCTATAGGTGACCCTGCTTGAGCAGGGGGTTGGACAAGATGATCTCCAGAGGGCCCTTCCAACCTCAACCACTGTGTGTTTCTGTGATTTGGTTTATTTCAAAAATACATGCCAAAACTAACTTCTCTAGAGCAGTACCATTGTTCACAGCAAGCCAACTCCAACTGCTGTTGGAGCACACCATATAATGTGTTATATGCATCCTAACAGTATCCTACAGTAGTGATTACATCTTAAAAAATAAAAGCAGTAATAAAACAAACAAACAAACAAACAAACAAACAAATCACCACATTTTAAATGAAATGAGCACCTACATTTGTCTGGAAGAAATCTATGGATATTCTCAGCAGGGAAGCTTAGGCACATGGAAGACCATCAATCAGAGTTTCCTTGTTCGCTAAGAACTGTCTAGCTTTGGAGTAAATCCTTGAGAGGGCTGTATTCTACACAGGATACAACTCTGAAGCCTTTCAGACATCAGCAGATGTTCAAGCACCAGCTGAGAGTCCTCATTTCTCTTATTCAAGTGCTGGTTTTGAGGAGCAGGGTGTGGTAGGACTGAACACAAACGAAGTCCCCGTATTTTCCCTGTGTCTCTAGCTACAGGACATGCATGCAACAGGGTCTTTACCAGGCAAAGAAAGCTCAGGTGCAATTCCTCCACAGCCTGTCAGTGTTAAGAAGTCCTTCACAGCCATGAAATGCTGCCTCTACCCTGAGCAATGACAAATGGGATGAAAACAAGCACTGCTGTGATGTGTGGGCTGGAAGGATACATACCCTGATCCGTGGGATGAGTGATGTTCACAGCCTAGAAAGTGGGACTGGCCTAACAATACAAACCTGAATCCTCAACAGCTCCATCCCTAGTTTTATTTTCTCTGTAGAACAAGAAGTGAGATGTGCCTTGTGCATCGGTATCACAAGATCATCTCCAGCTCATCAGAACAAAAACTGTTGTGCTATGGACACGACAGCCCAGAAGCAGAATAACAATGGTTTCCTGCCATGTTAGGACCTTGCAAGCATTTAAAAACTCTGTCAAGTTTTAACTGATTGGACTGAAACTTCTCTTGCTCTTGTTTTGTTTGGAAAAACAAAGCTAACACACTCTGGACTTTTCTGAAAATCAGATTGAGAACAGGAAAAAAAAAGCAAATTGTTTAGTTTATGTTAACAAAACATTCAGTGACGGTTATTTGTGAAAAATTAGGCTTTCATATCTTGGAGCAAGGAAGGGCCAACTGAGTTAGTGTCCCAGATCTGATCAGTTCAGCAGCCTCTTAACTGATCACTGGAATTTCTCATGTCTTTAGTGAGACATAACCGAATGTAAGAAGTCTCAGACTAGCTGGCACCAGGCTCATATTAACTCCTCTGGGACATGTTAAGTACCCAAGTAAAATTAACTTGGTTGGTGCTGAATATATCGGTCACTGAATGTGCATTTCCCCAGTCCTTTCAAGCCAAGCATGGAGATGGCTGCCCTCAGACACAGAAATCCCAGCCTCCCAGGTCTCAGGCTGATGATTTCCCTACCTTCATGGTGACAGCTTAAACGGCTAGGGCAGGAAATGGATCTGACAAAAACAAATACTGTAGTCTAATAATAACCATCATCATCAGATCAGCTACCTGGAAATGAACTCTCTGAAATTAAACTCCAAGTTGCATGGAGCACTACTTCTGGTTGAGGATGCATTTTCCAGGCAGGATTAGGAGGCTAAAGATCCCTCTCCAGCTGTCTACTGTATGCAGCACAAAACATCCCAGGTCATACGATGGGGAATGGTCATCAGATGACCAAGCTTGATATACAGTAGAGGAAGAACTGCGTAACTTGAGGCATGTGTGGCACTAATTCATACTAGTAACGTGTCCATGATTATCAGCGTCATGAAGAAACATGGAACAGCATGTGAAATGAATATATCCACTCACTTGGAAGACAATCTCACAAATAGCCTTCAGATGCCTGATTTTTAGTGTTTTTTTTTAGTCTAAAAGGTGAGGAACAACCCAAACTAACTGTACAAATGGAACTTCACACACAAACGTTCCCTGCTTCAGCACTCTTTACAAAATGGTGCAAATGAAATCATGACAAAAACTTGAAATATTCTCAACATCCTTTGATGCATCTCACAGTGATTAACTAACTAATGCTACAGGTACCTAAGTGAGTGACAACTGTTTTTCCTGTCTAATGACTACAATGAAATCAGCCGAATCCCACAACAGTTTCAGCAAAGCCTTTGGAGAACCATTCTCACGTCTTCTGAAACTGGTTCTGTTCTAATGGGGCTGGCCTATTCTCCCACGTGCCTGGTGACAGGATGAGGGGGAATGGGCTAAAGTTGAGCCAGGGAAGGTTTAGGTTGGATGTTAGGAAGAACTTCAACCGAAAGGGTTGTGAGGCATGGGAATGGGCTGCCCAGGGAAGTGGTGGAGTCACCATCCCTGGAGGTCTTTAAAAGGCGTTTAGATGTAGAGCTCAGTGATATGGTTTAGTGGGGACTGTTAGTGTTAGGTCAGAGGTTGGACTTGGTGATCTGGGAGGTCTCTTCCAACCTAGATGATTCTGTGATTTCACGCACACTGTTAGCATCACTGCCAATGGTGTGTATGTAGTCCAGCTGCTTTCAGAGGCTGGTGATTCATGGCTTTAACTTCCTCACAGGCATTGGCTTTTTCCTTGCTTTCACTTTATTCCTAGAACAGTGAATTTGTATCATTTTCTCATGTGTTGCTGCCATATTGAAGCAAATGTTCTTGCAAATTAACTTTCAGCAGCAAGTCTAACCGTGATAAAATAAATAGTTTGTTCCATGGCTTTTGATCCCTTTGAAGCTCACTACCAGGATGAAAACTCGCATCTAACTTATGAGACAAGCTGGGAATTAAAAACTAGTGTTTGTCCCCAGGAATTCAGCATTTTTATTTTATGCGTATAAATTGCCAAATCTTTTTTTTTTTTTTTTTTTTTTCTCATAATCAGCACAAACACACCTTTACCAATGGCTTGTCAGGAAGCATGGTACTGAACTGTTAGGAAATAACAAAAAAAAGGAGAACACTGATATTTTTTTATCAGTGGTGCTCAGGCAGGGAGGAAATTAGGACCATCTTTATTCCTGGGACAACAGGATGCAACCTGGCATAAGATGTGAACTTAAAATATAGTTTTGGAAACAGAAATTTCTCATGCAAAGGAGCAGAGAATTCATTCCAGGAGTGAGGGGTGGCAGGAAAACCAGCAGAGGAGTGAATGTGGGAGATGTAGACTAAGGAAAAGGTGAAGTATGACTCATTGGTAATAACAAAGGGGGCGAAGATAGAGAATGATAAGGAAGTGAGGCAGAGATCAGCCCTTTTTTTTTTTTTTTTTTTTTAAGTAATGACACAGTAAGTCTCATGCAAAAGCTTGGGAAAATTTTGTTAATTTGCTAATAGCCAGGAGCAAGGATGGGGGCTGGGGGAAGATGAGACTGATTACTCTGCATTATTTCTATGACTGTGCTGATATTTAGGACAAAACGTCTCCTAGTAGAAATCTGGAGAGGATTACAGGATTACCCTGCCATGCCCTTCTCCTAGTTAGTCACTCTTTATGGGTGAAGAATAAAACTTTTCTTTTTTTTTTTTTTTTTTTTTTACTATTACGTTTATTTCACATGAAAAATCGTAACTGTCCACACTGCTGCTTTGTATCAGGCAGGTGACTTTCTCGAGGGGTCAGAGTGACAAAAATCTTCATCTTTGGTCTCTTCCAGACTCCTCAGTGTCCTCCAGCAGAAAAGAATAAGGAAAATTACCCAAAGAGATGACGAAGGCAAGGAGGCCTGAACTGACTGATGGTATGGGGATTGCCTTTACTGAGCCTTGTGAAAATAAGCAGTAGAAATTTGTCATAAACGGATCTGAACTAACTAGTAACTGTTTTGCCCTAGGACAGGAGGACAACCACGTGGACCACAGCAGCTTCCCTCCATGCAGAGCTAAGCTGTGCAGTCCAGCACAGACCACTGGGCAAATTCAACAACTTCTGCAGTGCTCAGAAGGGACTTCATTAGTCAGTGTTTCACTGGAAAGGAGGGAAAAGGAGGAATCAGGGAAATGCCTGAAAAGTAATTGCATTGTATCAGCTCTGATATTTGTTCTTTATCTTAACCACCCAAGAGACAGCTGCTGCTGCTTTGTGTGTCAGAAGGGCTCCTTATCTCTTTGAGGTGCGGTCCCAGTAGAGGCATAAAGCACACATACATAAACACACATAAACAAAACTCCCCTCTCTCTTAAACACCAGAGGCACAACACTACCTACACAACTCCAATCCAGCAACTTGTCTGGTCAAGTCTCAAGGTGGAGCTGATTAACTCCTGCTAATATGGCTCAGATTCAAATTGTAACCTGCAGGACACCACCCTACTAGGATTTAATCTATCTGTACCTTACGCAGTCCTTGTGATCCCCATTATCACTGGAAAATCAAAGCTCTGGGCTCAGGTCTAAACACTTAGGGACAACTATCCCCCCTACATCACCATAAGGATTTTCCTATTCAAAGCCCATATTCACTGGATCCCGATTTGCTTCTTGTTCCCTTTCAAAATGTATGAACCTGTTGTAGCCTTCCTTGTCCCCTCAAGATTTAGAGTAACCTGCTCTAAAATCCATGTCATCTGCTGTCACTAAATAGAAGCTCTATGGAGCTGCAGTAACTATGGATTGAATGATGCAAATACAAATGTATGATGATGATGACTAGCCCTTCTGTACCTAGGTCACAGAGGTAGACAGGTACAGAAGAAAACACGAGCATTGCTGTTTCCAGGGCTCTGAGGGTTCCAAGAAGACTCCTGATCACAACTCCCTCTAAATGTAGACATTTGTAGCACCCAAGCTGGTGCTTTGGTTTGTAGTACTCAGATGACCAAAATGGTAATCATTTGCTTCAAAAACTGGAGATATAAAATTACTCAAAAGTAGGGTTTATATTTTTTTCTTAGCCATTTATGGAAGCACCCAGAAGGAAACAGAGAAGAACACCATTCAGTAGTGCTGGACCTGGCCAAGACCGAACATGGCACACAGCTACCACTAGACACAACTTCTCTCCAGCTAGAGACAACCTATCTTTAAGAAAGTATAGCTGGAAACTGTGCATGGGACAAGAATACAACCAGGGAAATAAGCAAGTCTTATCTCAGCATCTGAAATAGAAAATATGTAGCAGAGGCCTCCCCAGGCTCAGGAAAGGAATCTCTTCTCAACATGCATGTAACAGAGTATTTATATAACACTTTGCAAATAACTTCCTATAGTAACAATACCAAAGCCATAATTCTGTATTTTCATTGGGTTTAATTACATTTTTATCCATAAGTTGAAAAAAATGATAAGCAGTGAGTGAGGTTATAAAATAACAGTTGCTTATTTTTACTCACTACTTTGGACAGTCAATTGCTTCAATACAAACAAGAAAATCAAATGCAACTTCCCCAAGACCCTTCACAAATCTCTACTTGCTCCATTTCTTTTTTTTCCATTTCTTCATTCAGGTTCATTCCTCCAGCTACTGTTTTCTGTCTATGACCTGAAGAAGCAGCACTTCTGTGGGACATTGCTTTTGTGCGTAGGAAGAGACACGTGCGAGCCAAACACATCAGCCTGACTGCCTTTTTAATGTGGAATGTCCATGTAGTGAATGGAGCTCCGCATCCTTAGTTTTCTGACTCAAAACGTGGAATACCAACTGCCTGGTGGGAACTACATACGACTGCTTGGGAGTGGGTGTAGCACTACACCAGACAGGTTTTGATATGTGCAGTGAATACCATGACACACTTAACAATTTTTCAGCGTAACCTTTTTCTCCTATGAAGCTTTTCATATTGCACCAAATACTTTTTTTAAACTTCCCATCCCACACTAAGTGCACTGTCAAATCCTCAAACTGCTGATGTGCTTTATCTGCTGTCAAAATTTTACTCAAAAGTAAACAAAATATTTTTCATGATAAAAAGACATTCCTGTCATGCACTCAAACACAACATTAAGCCTAAGCTATAATTTCAAACAGGTATAGAGCTGCATTTGACAGATATTTTCAGCATCATCTGATGGCTTCACTTACCTCAGATTTGTAAACTAATAATGAAGTTTTTTATATTAATTTTAATCCAAAATTATTACATGATACAAAAAAAGAAAATAGCAATGGTTGGTTTGGGAGACAGAGAAAGTTAAGAAAAAATAAATGCCTAAGCATTGGCTAAAAAATGTACAATGGTTCAGCCACAACAAACCAGTAAGGCCCTCCCCCCTCCATGCATCTTCCCCTTCCAACACAGAACTGCACATAATTTATGGTTCTCTTGCTAAGATACATTCCATACAGTTTGTTATGTAAATAAAAACAAATTTGGGGTTGTAACAGAAAAGCAAGCACATCAGGTCATCCCAGCTTGCTTCAGACTCAAACTGGAAACTGTAGTAGCTTTAGAAACAGAAATGATGCACATACTCCTCAGGTTCCTCAGTGTCCACAGTAACACGACTTCAGCATGGAATCCCATTACAATCCCTTGGGTATTTCATGATTTACTAAGAGGCAAAACGTACATTTCAGAAACTTATAGGCTCAGCTGAAAACTTATGTCTCTGTTATGGATGATCTCCAGTAGAAAAATCGTGTTCCAAATATAACGTGCAATTACCATCCAGCCACTTACAGTACTTATCTGTGAATCTGAGGAGGGGTTCTTTGTTTATTTTTTTAATCTTAAGACTTTGTAATTACTGTTTTGGCATCCAAGAATTCCAACAGTCAGTGAGGTGCTGCCAAAAGATCTTCTCCTGCAAGGTGCCATGCACCCCCCTTTCCAAGAAAATCAGCATTCAACTGCTGGTTCTGGCAACATTTCACATTATCTTTGCTGTGCTACGTTTCCTCCACGCCTCAGATCCTTACATGTAAAAATCAGAATAAAAGTCCTGCCCTCAAAGGGTGATTGGAAAACCATAGCTGAATGGTAGCATCTAGGAGGAGAGGTCCAAAAAATCTATGTGCTAGCTCCTGCTTGAGGTGGGGAAGGAGGTTATATATATATAAGTATATATTATGTGTGTGTGTGTGTGTGTGTAGATAAACATTGGCTTGCAGTAACTACCCATCTCTTGTAAGCTACAGGGTTCAGAGAACTGGAAACTCCTTCTGCAGAACCCATGGCAAGTGCTTTACAGAATTACAGCATCTGGAATGAAGCAAGCACATGGCAGCAGCGGCACTGGTTGTGCTTACCTTTCAAGATATTATTTGTGGATTCACCTGATTTACTTCTAAACCGCATAGACTGCAAATGGGACCTTAGAAGACTTTATTAAAAAAAAAAAAAAAAAAAGGAAAAAATAATGTGAGTATAAAAAAAAAAATAAAAAGCACTGCTGATTTCAGAAGGGACAGAACATCCCAAAATGCATTCTTGGTATTACAGCCCTGCACATGTGACTCCCCAGTGCATGTGAAAGGTAACTGAAATATAATAACATTGCAGGATTTCTTACAGAGCCGTGTCTGTATTCAATAAGACATTCTGCTGTTTCAGTGCCACATCATCTCACCGAAATAGCACAAAACTATAATATTCACCAAAGTAAACAGCAGAACTAAGTGCAAGGAAGAAAAGCAGAAGTGAAATCTTGTTGGGGCTCCTTCCCTGGCAGAAAGGCAACTTTCTACTCTTCCTTCCAGGGGTCTGTCGTTGCTGTTTTGCACTCACGTTGTTTTCCTTTCCTGTCGTTTGTTGGCTTCATTTCCTAGGTGTGTGTCTAAATGAGGGAGAGGGAGCGTGTTTGTGTGTGCATGTAGCATGTTTACAAGAGTTATGGTAGCTGTTCTCAGCAGTCCACCGAGAATTCTAGGAAACGGCCCCTGTTATTTTATTCTAGGTCAATGTCAGCTCATGTCAGGCAGGAAAGATCACACAGGACAGCTCGCTCAATCGCGCAGTCCTGGACGGAGGCCTCAATGGGAGAGAGAAAGCAAGCAAGCTGCGAGTGGGCGGAGTGCCTTCCCAGCACTCTACCAACCACCGCACAAGGAATTATGATAAACACCACTCTGGAAACCAGATACAACAGTACATTGTGTTCTTCTTCTGAAAAACAACCAGACTTCTGCTCACTTAAAGTAAACAGTTAATCCTGTTTATCTTTTTTTTTTTTTTCTTGATGAGTTGTTAACAGAACAATCTCTTCTGCAAAGCAAGTAAGAGGTTCATCCCTTAAATTCATACTCATTTTCTCTTCCTTCAAGAAAAAAAAAATCAATACGTAAACTTTCTACTATCGGCAAACAGTGTGGAATAACAATCTTTCTTGGCTTAAACTGACTTAACAAAGCGATGCCAAAACTGAATGAAACCTTTCCCTCACTTACATATTTTATTTTGGAAAACCGAAGTCCCAAACAGAGAGTTCTATTCATCTCATTTAACTATTCCTTTTCCAATGAGAACAAGCAAAACTGATAAAACATATAAATTAATCAGGATGTGTGGTGCCCTTGCAGCCTGAGCAAACAGTGCATTGTATGCACAGATCAGCTATGACCATGGGGGTGTTCTCAGGTTTTCTCTGCAAGCCAAAAAAAAAAAAGAGAATTCAGAGTAAATGCCTGCAGATGAAGTAATAATTTTTGTTGTTGTTTTCAAAATATATGCTTACTGTGCAAATTCATGATGTCTCTGACTTTCAGTATTAAAACTGATTAATTAGAAAAGCACATGGAAGTGATTATCTTGTTTTGTTGAAGTCTCCACACTATACCTCTTAACTACTTCTTACTGGAGAGTCCAGCTGAGTCCACTGAAAGCTACCAGCTTTTCCAAGGGGAATTCTAATTTTTAGCACTTAGGAATTTAAATAGTTCTGAAAGTCAATAACGAGAGTGTGCTTAACATCCCCAGTCAGTAAAAGCTTGTTGATTTAGCTATTTATAATCATAAAAATACGTGATTTGCAAAACTTAAAAAGGAGAAGGAAAATATTCCCAGTTTATTTTTACCCATCTTGCAAGCTCCGGATCTAAGATTCTGGGTTTTCTGTGCAACAGATGTCAGCCAGTGCAAAAAGGTAAATTCAGGTCTGGGAAGGTAACAAAATGAAAGTCTTGTTTTCATATATATATATTGAATATTTTACATGTAAAACTTTTGTATTTTTACATTTGTTTGTTTGTTTTTCCCTTGAGATTCATTTTTTTTTCACTCTTTTGCAACAATTGCTGAATTTGCTCAGCCCGGGGGATCTAAGTGACAGAACAGGTCTCTGAAGTGCCAGAACAGGACAAAGCAGTGCTATTTCCCTTTACAGAAACCGAGCTCTGGAGGCAGCCAGCAGCAGGCCAGGGCCAGAAGCTAAACTCAACAGAAGCCCCCGAGGAGCAGCCCGGGGACTGCTCCCCCCAGCCCGGCGCTCAGCCCAGCTAGGACTGGAAGAGCCTGTACTGGGAGGCCAAGAGCTGCTGAATGCTTCATATTGCTCCAAGAGCCCCTGCCTCCCCCTCACGCCTGCCTGGGAAGAGCACTGTTGCTCCTTCAGATTGGATTTAGCCCACCCGATTCCTCCCAAAATCGACGGATGGCCCACAGTGCTGGGAAGGGCCCAGCAGCCCTGAGCAGAGCAGCCCTGGGCGGCGGGGAGAAGCAACGTGCTTTGATGAAACTCCTCTCCAGGAGAGCCTGAGGAGAACATGGTGTTATCTGCTTGTTAGAGAAACTCTTGTGCCCGGGAGAAGCAAGCGGTACCTCTGAATGATTTAGGGTGGTGTTATAACCCACATATGAAAGAGGACTCCCTTCGGCTGGCCACCACTACGGCCTAGGTCAACTGAGAGGGATGTGGACAAGAGGTGAATTGATGGGAGACCATTAGGAGATGAAGCAACAGCAGGAGGAAAGTGGGGAAGGTGAAGAAAACAAAGAGGAAATGTGCTCTGGTATTACCTCTTTCCCACTTCCTTTCTTACACCTTGCTGTTCTCCATATCTCTAGTAGTTAGAGATTAGGAGAAAAAATGCTGGTCTGTGGCAACACCAGTATAATCCCAGGGATGCACTGTGAGCGTTACTGATGGAGTGTTTTCCCAGACACATTTGGATTTATCTTTTTTTTTTTTTTAATCAGAAATTAAGGACACAACGATCACTGCTGTACAGGAAGTGCAGATGTCAACAGTTTTCCAATGTGAAAATAAAAAAAAATAAAATCGTTACCCTTCTAAGCTTCCATTTGAACTTGTCAAAATGAGAAAACTCCTTTTTCACTGTAGGTCAAGTAAAGCTTTATAAATTACTTTTAAACAAGCAGCAGGTTTGGGCCGTGATCCAAAACTCACTCAAATTAACATTTCTGCATTTGATTTCAATAAACTTCATTTCGTGTTGTGTAGCAGGTGGAAAAAACACCTGGGCAGCACCAGTAACATTCCTCCACCTTGATTTCACTCAACCATTTATGCAAATTCCATGTTTCTCTTTTAAAACCACCTGAACTGAACACCAATCAGGGATCAAACACTGAAATGATTTCTATACACATCACATTTCCAATTTCCTATGACTTCAAAGAATCACTTTTAGCAGGATCAGAACCTGGAGCACAGCACAATACAGGCGAAGAGAATCTCTTATTTCTTTCATTGCTTTGGCTATCTTCAGATGTGCATGGAGATTTAAAATACTCTGTGTTCTAGTGAGAAATGTCCTACAAACAAAGAAACAAAACCCCTCTGTTACAGCACCTTAGTCACAATTATCGTCTACAGATGATAGTCTCTGCTTTATTTCTCATGCATGTGGAACATTATTTTACTGCAATGACATAATCAGTCATTACACTGGATTTAAATAATAACTCTAGTGAATTACTGAGACACAATGTGCTTGGTATACCTGATTCCAATTTTCCCTCACCACTATAAAAAAAAAATAGCCCTGAAAATAAGAATCTGTTCAAATATCAGTAGAGCACAGCTTGTTCACACCACATGTATTCCAGGAGAGAGAAAAAAAGACGACCAAATCTAATCAAAACTACAGGAAGAGTTTAGAGAGACAAAAGATAACCATGTAAATTAGAACTGGATTAGGGCCCTTACTAAATCTACCTATTCATGCCAAAAGAGGTGGTTTAATATTCTGTGGTTACGATTCTGGTTTTGTGTCTTATCCAAAAGAATATCAACAATAGCACATTGTTCTCCTACCACGTTGCTGATGTTGCAGCCTCTGATTTGATTCAGCACAGGCTTGAAGGGAGAGTAACAGCCACAGAAGCACTGCTTCCCTTGCCACTGCATTTTCCTTAGATGTCACCCATTCCGGGCCAGCAGGAGATGTAACATCACAACCCAGATAACAAGATACCTTTTGTGTTTAAGAAGTGTGGTTTCCTGTTGATAGATAGCATTTTGTATTGTCACATTCGTTGTCTCATCCTTTTTCCTGTCACACATTCCTTCCCTAATTGAGACTTCACTATACTGCACTGAGCAAGCATTAAGACAGGCACAATGACTTCTACCTGCCTATAGAACACTTGATACTTAGCAAAAGCCCTGATCCTCACTGGAGAATCTGGGTTGCACAAAACCAAATCAATCCAAAGCTATGGTGTACAAGGATGAACTATTTAAACATCATGCTGCTACTTGTCCTTCTTAACAACAGGCAGTAGGGCTAGCATTTGGATTTTCAGAGTCCTCTCAGCATCTTAGCAGTTGAATTTTTCCCTCTCAGGCTCTCCACTGAGTAGGATTTCTTGTCATTGTAGTCCAGGCTGCTGGACTAGTGCTTCAGCCTGGCTTGACCCCCATACCACAACAGAGCAGTTAAACAATCATTGGATGGAGATCTGAAGGTTGTATCAAGAGTACTCTTCCCTACTGGATGTGTAGTAAAAGAAGCAGAGAGCCATCAGCATATGAAGATGATGATATTCTACATAAGTATAGGCATATTTTTATGCACTGTCTGTTGCCATGGGACACCTTGCTCATGGTGTGATCTCCACTGCCAGGTGGAGACACTGCCAATTTTGA